ATCTATTTAACAGGGACAAGTGATCCATATGTGAAGTTTAAAATCGGAGGAAAAGAAGTTTTTAGAAGTAAGATAATACACAAGAACCTCAACCCTGTGTGGGAAGAAAAAGCTTGCATTCTGGTTGATCATCTTAGGGAGCCACTGTATATAAAGGTGAGACATTTATTTGTTTTTTCCTGATAGAAACTGATGTGGAAATCCCTATTTACTGGGTTTTATCATGTTTCTTTGTCTGATGAGAATTTTCACCAGAGATGTGTTCTGCTATTCACCACTCTAATCTCTTGATAATATGATAGAAGTGAGATAGAGGGAAGGAGGAGTTAGCAGGGGCATTTTTCTCCAGGACAGTTCTCTTGCCAGTCATTTAGAAAGATTATGAAGTGTATCCCTTGTGCTTGGTATTGCCAACTGATTTAGTGCACTTTGGGAGCATATGAAAACAAGTTTCCATATAAGCTAACAGAAAGGAGAACTTACACAGAACCCAGCCTTTCTGTTTACAAATTGTATTATTTAAGATCTGCCATTTCTGCTTGCAAGCAAAATGCTTTACTTGGAACATGAGAAGGGTGAAGGTGATGGGGGAGAAAAATTTCTATCTCTATTAGATTCCAAAAATGGGGGGTGGGGGTAGGGAGACTTTCCTCTCATTTGATGTGATTAAAAGAAAGAGAAGAACTTGAGGAATTGCAACCTAGTTCCTATTCTGAGCCCTATTCCTTATTTTATTTTCATGCCCAGCTTTTCTTTAATTCGTATCTCTACGTACTTACATTCTTTTTTGCTCCTAGGCTCTGACTGTTCATTCAGTGACCAGACCTTTTTCTACTTTTACCACAACAGCACATATCCCACCCTTTTCCCTAAGTTGTCACTACTGGCACATGAGCCAGAAATCTCATCTTTCAGCAATCACTAGGCATACTTCTTCCCCTCATATCATCATTGTATTACCTCTAGTTGTTTCTTTCCTCCACAGAAAGGAACAAGAAATAATCAAGTTGTTACTGAAATTATGAGAGGATAGTTTATAAGAAGGTTGGAAAGAGAATCTCCTAAGTATACAGTTAATAATTTTCTATAAGTCATTAGAAGGAAAATAGACACACACTTGCATAATAAATTGTCTCCATTGGACATTGGCTAAAGAAAATCAATTAAATAGCC